GCTACTTGGAAGGCTGAGGAGGAAAGATCGCTTGAGCTCAGCAGGTTGAGACTGCAATGGCCGAGATCGTGCCACTGCCCTCCAGCCTGGGTGAGAGAGTGAGAGTCCAAGTCAAAAAAAGAAAAAAAGTTTTTTAGGTTTTATTTAAGTATTAGTTGAGGTGATCTTGAAATTTTTCGAAAACTCTGTGGATTTAGTTAAAAATAGTCAATAAAGTTTGAAGTGTTGCCTTTGGAGAATAAATAGGAACGAGGGCTGCCATCGGGGATATGTCAGGACATCAAACCCAAATCAGATCAAACCTTGTGAAAAGGTCTTTGCTGAAGTCCCTTCCTGAAGGCCGTTATTAAAATATGATCTATAACTGTTAGAGAGATAGCCATTTCCTTTTGCATGCTTTTAACAATCCTTGTCTGGGTATTCTAGCTGGTATCTGATTCTTAGACTTCATCAGTGATACTATAGTTTCATTACTAACCCTATTTCAGGTTTTCTTTTCACTTTAAGGGTGTATTATGTCGATTGCATTAACAGGAAATTTAGCTTTGAACAGTAGAATTCTTGAATTTCTGACATTTAACAATTATCTCTTATGAATCATGTGTTAAAAAGTTACATTGGAAGGATGGATTACAGGTATTTGAATTAGTAAGATAAACTTTTTAATTTTTCTGAGAAATTTTTGTTTGCACATAATTAATTGCTTCTGAAAATAAGCAATAGATTTTTTAATCATATTCAACAGAAATAAAAGAAAGAATGACAAATCACATTTTATCAGGCTCAGAATGATAGAATTAGAAAATAGATTAAGATAGTTTATTTACCTTAAACATTCTGTCAGCCCATAAATCAAATCTAGTCACCTGATGTTGATGCTTTAAGAAATAAATTTCTGTCACCTGATGTTGATGCTTTAAGAAATAAATTTCCAGCCGGGCTTGGTGGCTCTGTCTGTAATCCCGCGCCTTTCGGAGGCTGAGGTGAGTGGATTGCCTGAGCCCGCGGGTTCGAGACCCGCCTGAA